CTCTCTCTCTCTCTCTCTCTCTCTCTCTCTCTCTCTCTCTCTCTCTCTCTCGGTACTGGCAGGCTCTCAGGAAGAACCTGCGTGTATCCTGAATGATCTTTACAACGTAGACAAACAGACAATGATTGCAAACAAAAACTCACATTAGATAAATGGAAAACAAAACTACATTCAAGAAATTTACTTATCTATGCGTAAGATTGTCCGTCCTTCTCTCCTTTTGTATCTTTCATGTTGTTTTTCTTCTTCAATAATTGACTTTCTCATTGATGATGCTTCTACATTTTCCAGATACACGTATATTATGATTCAGTTTCCAGACACTGATCCACTGTTTCGTTTCTCTCTCTTCTGTTTCACTGTCCAAATACACGTATGTCATGATTCAGCTACCAGTCATTAATCCACTGTTTCGTTTCTTTCTCTTCAGTTTCAGCTACAACTTCTGGAGGATGGAGGGTCCTCCCAGGCGATCCTGGCGGCCCGGACCGACCGACCGTTGGTGAAAAAAGTCGTGAAGAAGTTCCTTCTACGTGATGATGATGACGACACTGAGCGAGCTCGCCAGTTGGCCTGTTTTGAGCACGAAGTCTCCTTCTTACAGTCTCTCAACCATGACAACATCGTGAGGATTTCCGCAGCTGTGAAGTGTCCCACGTACTTGGGGATTGTTCTGGAATATCTCCCGACCGACCTTCAGCGTCGGCTGTACCGTGTGACCCCCAAAGAGGCCCAGTCGTTCTGCCAGCAGCTCATTGACGTCACGTGTTACTTGCACGCTCGACGCGTCATCCACGGCGACTTCAAGCTCGAGAACGTTCTCGTGGACACTCGTGGGACCGTCAAGCTCTGTGACTTTGGCCACGCACAACTTATTCCGGGGCACACTGACAAACCAGATCGGTGGAGGGGCACCAAAGGTTATTTCCCGCCGGAGATTGGCGTCCGTCAACTTCACAACGCCTTCAAGATGGACAACTACGCTCTGGGTGTCCTCATGTGGTGTCTGCTGTTTGGCGCGAGCCCGGACAGTGGCGTGGACTATTTGCTCACAGTGGAGAACACGTCCACTCTCAAGACGGCTCACAAGAGATGTCTGCGCGGCCTTCTCGCTCAGTCTCCCACACAGCGAGCTACCATTTGGGAAACCCGTGACAATTTCAATAACGAGGATTCCTCGGAATATCGCACGAGGGGGAACGAGGACTCGGAGAGCTCAGTCTGTGCTGTGACCTGCCATGGGTCGACTCGAGTGAACCAGCCGGCTCCTGACGTCAGTTCTTCTGTAACAAACACACAAGATAGCGCCGAGTTTCCCATCCCGTCTGTCTCTGGATTCTGTGGCGCTGACCAAGGACGTGAGGAGATTTGTTCGTCTGGACAGACAGCTTCTCACGAGCCACCTCTCCCGCCGAGAGTGGTTCCAGAGTGGGACATCCGTCCGATCCAACCCATCTGTACATTCCTCACACGTCAACTTGGACCATCAGACTTGTGTACGTCCGATCCGACATCGTTTGATGAGTTTTCTGTCCAGAAGGAGGAGCCGCAGGGCTGCACAAGCCCGGCCACGCCCATCTCTCCAGTCGCTACATGTCCTCCAGGATCACCGACATTGTGTACATCTGACCACACACCCTTTAGTTCTCCCTCACAAGACGAGTCGAATGGTGCCGTCTATAGGATCCAACCGATCTCAAGATTTTATCCAACTCACCCAGCGCCCTCGGAGTTTGACCAGTTTGACCAGTTTGACCACACGCCCCCAGTACAAGTCTGTCCAGACACAGGTCTTGGAGATAACGCAGTCTTCCCCTTCCAGTCTGTGTCAGGATTCCCCGCCTCTCCACAAACACTACACGACTTTTCTGAGCCTGGATTCCCCGTCTCTCCACCAACACTACACGACTTTTCTGAGCCAGGATTCCCCGCCTCTCCACCAACACTACACGACTTTTCTGAGCCTGGATTCCCCGCCTCTCCACCAACACTACACGACTTTTCTGAGCCTGGATTCCCCGCCTCTCCACCAACACTACACGACTTTTCTGTGTCTGGATTCACCGCCTCTCCACCAACACCCCAGGACTTGTATGTATCTGGGCAGGTGCCTTCGAGTGATCATTTTCTTACTACAAATTTTCAAAATGGCGCTGATCTTCCAGTCGAGCATACCCCAGAATTCCGACCAAGATT